AAACAGACACTTCTCAAGATTCTGCACTACTCATTATTACCAATTATTTAGTAATTAACATTTACCTGTTTACCTCTGTGAGAAAGTCATCTCAAATTTTAAAAAGAACACTTCCTCTTAATACAGGCTGGTCCTTATCATGATCATTCTCCTCACTCCCAGTCTTTGATTCAGGTCTACAGCAGGTCCCAAGAATCTGCATTTCTAACAAATTTCCAGGTGCTGCTGCTACAGCTGGTCTGGGCATCACACTTCTGAAAACCACTGTCCTAAAGCACTAGACTAAGAGTCAGGAAACACATGTCCTGAGGCCCCTATTCTGCCTCTAACAGCTGTATACATCTCTATGACAAATCATTTGGATTTCTTTGGGTCTGTTTTTCTATTCTGTAAAATAGAAGGGTAAAAGTACTGGTCTGGTGGGGAAGGGTATAGCTCAAGTGGTAGAGTGCATGCTTGGCATGCACGAGGTCCTGGGTTCAATCACCAGTACCTCCTCTAAAAATAAATAATAAACCTAATCACCCCACTCTCCCTCCTCCGCCAAAAGAAGTACTGGTCTACAGGAGTCATATGTACTATTAGAAAATCCAGGGTGGGGCCTAAGAACTCACATTTTTAATGAGTTCTGAAGTGATGCTGATGCTGCTGGTCCAAGAGCCACACTTAAAGGACGAGTATACTAAAACTAACCACACGCCTACACTGTGCAATTCCACACCTAGAAAGAAAAACAAATGCACTCCCAAAGGAAAGAAAATGCACATGTTCACCAATATACATATACGAGAAAATTCACAGTGATTTTATTGATACTAGCTAACAGTTGGAAATATCCCAAATGTCCACTGTTAGAACAGATACATTGTGCTATATTTACACAGTGGAATACTACACAGCAATGAAAAAGAATTATCCCTTCACACAATTTATGGATGTATCTCACATAATGTTTAAAGCACGACAGTCTATGTGAGTACCTAGTGTATGATACTGTTTATATAAAGTCCAAGAACAAACAAAACTAACTGATGTACTGATGGAGTTCAGAACAGGATTATCTGGTGGGTAAGGGGAATACTGACTAGGAAGAAGCCTGAGAAAGCCTTGAGGATGGAAGTATTCCATATTTTAATGGGTGTTATATATACATGTAAAGCTTAAAGTTCATCAGCTGCGGACTTGTGTTACATATCACACTTCAATAAATAATTATAAAAGTAAAATGAGATGTAAAGTGAAAACAAATGCATTACATTAACATCCTTTAAAAGCAATTATGTAAACTGGATTTCCAAAGGAGGCATAGGGCTTAAGAGAACCATGACTAACATACATTCTGAAAATTAACAGCTATCCAGCTGACACAAGGAATTGTGGAGAAAAATTCTCAGCGCATCCTGTAACATTATTCTAATACTGATTCCCAAAAGCATCACTAGGAGACACTACAGCACAACTGAGTAATCAACCACTTAATCTGAAGGCCTTCATATCCAGACCCAAAAAACATACTCCATCCTGAAAGGCCCTAAGGGACCTAGGCCCTGGTCTCCCCCATCTCATCTTTTACTCTTTTACCCTACTCTAGCCAAATGGGCTTTCTTGCTGCTCCTCGTGTAGGTCGACTTCATTTCTACCTCAGATCTTGATCCTAGCTCCTCTTCCTGCATGAAATCAACTTTCCTCAGAGCTTCCGAGCTCATTCCCTCATGCCTCTGCTCAAATGTCACCTCCTCCAAGAGACTCTACTGACCATGTGGCAGATTTCTTTCAGAAGTCACAGCTAGGAAAAAGGTTCTCTTGCTCCGAGTTGCTAACCTTACCTGTGTCAGATTATAACAATGAAACAAGGTTCCTCTTTTTTATGCTTCAAAGCAAGAAACCCCTGGCTAAATTTTTTGATCCGCTGCATCATGGATTCTTAGTTTGGGCTCTTTTTATTACTTAATTATTTTTGCTTTCCTTTATAGCTTTACAGCCTTTCCTTGCACACAAAGTAACTTGTAAGTAAGGTGAATAGAAAAATAAGACTTTAAACCATAGCAATCAATGCCTTGCACACAGCAACTCCCAGGAAATTGTTTTGAGCCATAAACAAATGAATAATGAATGGTGACAGGACATCTGGAAATTTTCAGGCATACACGGGAAAAGGTTTTTGTCCCAATAGTGTGAGTTCACACTGGCACTCAGCACAGAGCCTGGCACATAAAAATGGCAAGGATGACTGTCAAAAGAAAAACCAAATTAACAAACATCAAGCCTAGATTTCACTTTTTGTTCTAGCCACAAATGCCATTTAAAACAAACAAAACCAACCAACCCTTTCAGGCCAACTATGAATGTCATCTATATCCTCGAGAGAGGTTTTACTACGGAGTTGCAAAGATGCAGGAACGGTCTAGGAGTGGAAGGGGGCAAGAACAGGGGTCTGGCCTAACGGGGCCGCCGTGGGACAGAGCAAAGGAGAGGCGGAAGCTGTCAATATTAGGGCTGAGACACAGGAAAAGCAGCAGCCCGGGTCCTAAGACAGCCTAGGAAGAGGCGGGGTCGGCCTGAAGCCGCGGCGGCCGCGTTCCCCAAAGGAGAGTGAAGGAGGCTGGACGGGCTTGCTCACCTCTAACGCCGCCTGGGGGTCCTCGTCGATCAGAGCATCTGAGAAGCTCCGGAAAAACCTGCCGGGGAAACAACGACTTCAGCAGAGCTCACCAACCCAGGAAAGTGGGGGGCGGGGGCAGATACAAATAAATACCAAAGAGAAAGGGAAAACACGCACCTCTGGGCTGTCGCAGGCCCCGCTGCAGCCGCCGCCATCCCTAATAGTCACTGCTACCGCTGCTGGAGCTGCTCCTTCCGAGGTTACCAGCTCTGCCGCCGCCCAAGAGGGAAACTTCTGGAGAAACACCAACCGAGCTTTCGTCCTAAGTAGCCAACGAGCAGCTACGCAGCGTGCAGCGGGGGGAGGGGAAGCGAAGAGCGGGCGCGGGGCGGGCTGGGACCGTGGAGGACACAGTCTCCTGGCCCGCCCCCTGGCCCTTGACCGGCGCTCTCAGGCCCCGCCCCCTGCAGCCATGGTTACGGAGGCCGCGGTGGTTCATGCTGGCCCTCCCCCTGTGCGCGCCCGCGCTTCAGGAGTGATAGCTCGAAAGGACCTTGGTACCGTCCTGTTACCCTCAGGAACGTGTGGCGTTTGGGGACATTTGTATGTCTGTTAATGACACAAGGCACATCGAGCTCCAGTTTCCCTACGGCTGTCATCATGGCTCCCGGAGGCAGCCAAGCCTTTCGTGGCCCGTGCCGTCATTCGCGGCTACATGTTCTTTTCCGGAAGCCATTTCCGGATGGCGCGTCGATGCCGGGATCTTGGTGCTGGGAAACCTAAGGGTCTCAGACTCACCGGAAGTCGTTCTGTCTTTGCAGAGACTACACTGGAGGAACACTTTTGGTTCCGGTGCGGCTATTCTGTTCCGTTCCCCAGAACTCCCCAGGCCCAGGCTTTCTTCCTAGTTGGCTTCACAGACTGAGAGGAAAGACGTGCTCCATCAGACGGCACTGAAGGGTGGAAGGTGGCCTGAAGCTGTCTGAGTGCTGCTTTACTTTACCTGGGCGGTGGAAAGTAAAGCACCCTTTGATCTGTGCAATTCAGATAGCAGAAGCTTCCAGCAAGTTCCACGGGATGGAGAGTGGGGGAAACAGGAAGGACTGGGAGTGAGCAGCTGTCAGTAGAGATAAACAAGTAACAGAACTTGAGTGTCTGCTACATCCAAAATCTAAACTTGAGTCCTGGGATTCAGTGGTGTTAATGCCCTCCAGAAATTCAAGCCAATTTTGTTGAAAGTGCTAAAATGAAAATAGGACTAGTCAAGAAGGGACACTTAGCTGAATGTAGGTTACAGGGATGGAATTCTCAAATGTGTTGTACCTGCTTCTCAGTCTCGAAGATGGATTAGAACCAGTGAAGGAAATGGAAAAGACAATTCAGGCATAAAATAGGACTAATGTTAGTGATAATGTGAACTCTAGAATTGGTAGAGCCAAAATTCAAGCTAGAAGCAGACTGAGTGGAGAGATAGATAAATACCAGGTCATAAAGGGCTAGGTGAGGTCAGCTGAGAAGTTTGGATGTGATACTCTAAATGATGCTAACCCGTTAATAGGATTTTTACTCAAAAAAAGGCAATAACGGTCAAATTTATAATTTTAAATGTTACTCTCTCTGTGCTATGGAAGAATGATTAAAGGGAAAAGAACAGTTTTTAGGAGACAACTGCTGTATTACAGGCCAAAGTGACTCTTAAATAGGTCAGTGATTGTAGCGATGGAGAGGGAGGTAAGAATTACAGAAATAATTGAGATAAAACTGAGTTTGCTGATCTTTTATGATCAGTGATTTTGTATCATAAATAAGACTTTGCCTACTCCAAAGCCGTGGAGATAGTCCCCTGTGTTTTCTTCTAGATGCTTTACTATTTTACCTTTCACATTCAGGCCTATGAGTTATCTCAAATTAATTTTTATGAAATGTATGAAATTGGGATCAAGGTTCATTCCACCCTCCCCATATTAATATCCAATTGACCCAGCCCTACTTACTGAAAAGACTCATTAGCCATTTCTCTCACTAAATTCTTATGGCACCTTTGATGTACCCACATATATGAGTGTGGTCTTTCCAGGTTTTCCATTGGTCTGTCTAATCTTGTAGCACACTATCTTAATTAATGTAGCCTTATAATGAGTCTTTTTTTTAAATTGAAGTATAGTTGATTTACAATGTTATGTTAGTTTCAGGTGTACAGCAAAGTGATTCAGATATATCATCTATATCTATATTACATATACACACACACACATTTACATGTATATTCTTTTTCAGATTTTTGTCCTTTATAGGTTACTACAAGATATTGAATGTAGTTCCCTGTTCTATACAGTAGCTCCTTATTGTTTATCTATTTTATGTAAAGTAGTTTGTATCTGTTAATCCCAAATCCTAATTTATCCCTCCCCTGCTTTCCACTTTGGTAACCATTAGTTTGTTTTTAGTGTCTGTGGGTCTATTTCTGTTTGTAAATAAATTCATTTGTATCATTTTAGATTTCACATGTAAGTGATATCATATGCTATTTGACTTAACTTCACTTAGTATGATAATTTCTGGGTCCATCCATGTTTCTGCAAATGGCATCATTTCATTTTTTTGTGGCTGAGTAGTAGTATTCCATTGTGTGTATGTATGTGTGTGTATGTATGTATATTTAATATATATCACATAATCTTTATCCATTCATCTGTCAGTGGTCATTTAGGTTGCTTCACTTCCATGTCCTGGCTATTGTAAATAGTGGTGCTATGAACATTGGGGTGTATGTATCTTTTCAACAGAGTTTTCATTTTTTCCATGTTTATGCCCTGGAGTGGGATTGCTGGGTCATATAGTAAGTCTATTTTTAGATTTTTAAGGAATCTCCGTACTGTTCTCCATAGTGGCTGCACTTACAGTCCCACCAATAATGTAGGAGGGTTTCTTTTTCTCCACACCCTCTCCAGCATTTATTATTTGTAGACTTTTTGTTGAAGGCCATTCTGATTGCTGTGAGATGATACCTCACTGTAGTTTTGATTTGCATTTCTCTAATAATTAGCAATGTTGAACATCTTTTCATGTACTTGTTAGCCATCTGTATGTCTTCTTTGAAGGAATGTGTGTTTAGGTCTTCTGCCCATTTTTTGATTGAGTTTTCTTATTTTTGATATTGAGCTATGTGAGCTGTTTGTGTATTTTGGAAGTTAAGCCCTTGTTAAGCTGTCAAAAGACCGTAAGCTGTCTTTTTGTTTTGTTTATGATTTCCTTTGCTGTGCAAAACCTTGTAGATTTAATTAGGTTCCAGTTTTTAATTTTTGCCTCTATTTCCATTACTCAAGAAGATAAATCCAAAAAAAAATTCTGTGATTTATGTCAAAGAGTATTCTGCCTATGTTTCCCTATAGGAATTTTAGTGTCCGGTCTTACATTTAGGGCTTTAGTCCATTTTCAGTTTATTTTTGCAAATGATATTAGAGAATGTTCTAATTTCATTGTTTTACATGTAGCTGTCTGGTTTTCCCAGCACCACTTATTGACAAGATTAGCTTTTCTCCATCATCTGTTCTTACCTCTTTTGTCGTAGAGTAATTGATCATATGTGCATGTGCATAGGTTTGTTTCTGGGCTTTCTGTACTGTTGCACTGATCTGTGTGTCTGTTTTTGTGCCAGTACCTATAATAAGTCTTGAAATCTATAGCTTTTTCTTTAAGATTGCCTTGGCTAGTAAAAGTCCTTTGTATTTGCTTTACTTTGTAAAATTTATTTCCATTTATTTATAAATTTTAGAATAAGCATGTCAATTTCAAAACAAAACAAAACAAAACAAAACACCCTGCAGGGATTTTCACTAGGCTTACATTGGATCCATTATAGGTCAATCTGTTTGGAGAAAACTGACACAGTAATAGTGATTCCTCCAATCCATGAATATAATACACTGCTCCATTTACTTAAGTGGTCTTTAATTTCTCTCAGCCATGTTTTGTAGGTTACAGTGTAGAGGTCTTACATATCTTTCATTAGATTTATTCTTGAGTATTTTTTATGCTATTTTGTATCATTGAAAAGTTGTAATATTCTACTTAGCTGTTGCTAGTATATCGAAACCCTACTGATTTTTACATGCTGACCTTTTATCTAATCATCTTGCTAAGTTCCCTTATTATTTCTAATACTTGGTAAATTCTTTTAGAATTTCTATGATCACAGTCTTGGCATCTGTTAATAAAGATGGTTTAATGTCTTCCTATGCAATCATTATACCTTTTGTTTTTCTTACTGTTGTCACTGGCTAGGATGTCTACTGTAGTGTTGAATAGAAGTAGTGATGTCTTGGTTTTAACATCAACAGTAAAGCATTCAATATTAAATGCTTTCCTGCCTTTATTGAAATGTCCATTTGTTTTTTTCTCTACTATGTTAATGTGAATTACATTGATTGATTTTCAGATGTTCTCTGAAAGGGCAGTATGCATATGAAAAAAGCTCTACATCAATAGCTCTATTGAGGACCATAAAATGTACTTTGGTACTAAGCACTCCCACCAAAATAGTTAAAATTAAAAGGACTTCCAGTGCCAAGCATTGGCAAGGATATGGAGCACCAGTGATTGCTAGTGAGAATATAAACTGGTATAGATAAATATAGCTCATTTATCTTCTTGAGTAATAGAAAAATTTAATACTATCTACTAAAGCTAGTCATACATGTACTCTGTTGACTAGCAATTCTACCACTGGGCATATGCCCAAGAGAAAAGAATACTTATGTTCGTGTACAAGAATATTGATTATTCATAGTAGCAAAAACTGGAAATAACCTAAATGTCCTTTCATAGGAGAAAAAAATTACAGAGTAATGATTAAGAATGAACTACTAGTACATACAACAATATGGATGAATCTTGCATATATAATGTTGAGTTAGAGAAGCCAGACAGAGTACATCTTGATTGATTCCATTTATATGAAGATAAAATCTATTGTGAGGGACGTCAGAGGGTAATCTGGCTGGGAAGAGCAGTGAGGAAACCTTCTTGATGTGGGAAATATTATATATCTTAATTTGGATGATAATTTCACATGTAAAATTTTTTCAAGTTATCCACTCAAGATTTGTGCAGTTTATGCTTCAATAAAATAGAGGAACAAGATTTCAAATAAGCAATGGAACATCAGAATTTGAAATTTCCAAAAAAAAGTAAGTTACAATAGCATCCAAAATATTAAATACTGAAAAATAAATCTAGGATGTGCGAAAACATGTATGTTGAGAATTACAAAACATTGCTGAGAGAAATTAAAGAACACTTAAACAAGTGGAGAGACCTTCTCTGTTCATGAATCAGACTCAAGATGTCAGTTTTTCGCAGATTGATCTACTGATTCAATCTGATCTCAATCAAAATCCCAAAGGCTTTTTCCATTTTGCAAAGTTGACAAACTGATTCTGAAATTCAATGGAAATGCAAAAGACTTAGAATAGCCGAATGAACTTTGAAAAATAAAGTTGAAGAACTAAAACTACCTAATTTCAACACATCAACCTTGTGTATTCACACAAAGATAGACAAATCAATAGCACAGAAGAGAGTCCATAAATAGACTCGTGTATATGAACAACTGATTTTCAGCAAAGGTCCAGAGGTAAGTCAGAGCAGAAAGGAGACTTGAAAAAGACAGGCTTCTCAGACGTTTTAATTGAAAAAGCGTAGTCTTTTCAAGAAACTGGATATACAAAAGCAAAAAAGTGAACTTCAATACCTACCTTGCACCATCTACAAAAATTCACTCAAAATGGAGCATGGACCCAAATGTAAAACTTAAAACTGTGAAACTTCTATAAGAAAGATCTTTGTGACCTTGGGTTAGACAAAGATTTCTCAGATAGGACACCAAAAGTGTGATACATTAAAAGAAGTTTTAGACTTTACCAAAATTGAAGTTTCTGCACTTTGAAGATACTTGCAAATCATATTCAGAATAAAGGTGAAGAGCTTGTATTCAGAATAGATGAAGAGTTCTCAAAAATCGGTAATAAAATATCAGGATTTATAAATGGGCAAAAAAGTTGAATGATCATTTCATCAAAGATACATGGGTTATAGTCATTTTACAATGTTGTGTCAAATTCCAGTAAAAAGAAAGATACATGGGTATCAAATAAGCTCATGAAAATTGCTCTAAATCATATAATGCAGTGGTGGAATCACAGATACTAGCAGTCAATTATTATGTCATCTCTGCCCAAATGAGAGAAATTAAAGGGCTCTCTAAGAGCGGTGGGGAAATTACAAGAACGCAGAGAAAGCCCTGAGGAAGTTATGCCTAAGATGAGGCCTGGCAAACAGGTAAGAGTTGGTCAAATAGAATGAGATCGACTGTGCCAAGCAGAGTGACAGCAAACGCAGAGGTATGGGAAGTAGAGGGAGAATGAAAAGTTGGGAAGTATAACTTTAGGGCTGTTCATTTGCATAAGCCTCTTCAAACCTTCTAATTTGGTATTCTAATTTTGTTTTTCCTAAATTAGTCCCCCTCATCCTCCCAACCACCAAACTGTGTAAGTTTAAGCCCCACAAAATCTGGATTTGCCCTAATAGAAGACATTGGTCATTCTTTTGGCAGCTCAGAATCTAAGCCCCCTTCTCATGTTTGGGGGATTCCCTGAGTCCCAGTTCCCACTGATGCAACCTCTCCAGAAACTGAAAATACTAAACTAGTTGAGAAGCTGAAAATTGCTTTCTCAACTTCACCTTTGAACTAAAGGCCTGGACTTGACCTAGGCTCTGCCAATCACGTAAATTGGTAGCTTGTTAACACAAGGAATCAAGGAAGGACGTTGGTTAATTCTCTTTGGATGCAGCAGTGCCTGTTTCAAGGTCAAATTTCGGAAGCAGAGACAGTGGTACAGAGCTCAGTGTTTAGTGCTTGGCAACAGTGGCTAAAGTGGACAAGTTGTGCAGTATAATTTTGTGATTTGTTTCTAGCTGTGTGACCCAGATTGACCCTGATTCTCTAGTCCTTTTGTCTATTCTGTGAACTGCACAATATTCTAATACAATTCTTTTATGCTGAAAACCAGAATCCATCTCTGCTGCTAATGACCAAGAACCCAAACTGACAATTTGATATTTGGAAGTGAAATGCTACAAAACAGACGCTAGTATGTAAAACTACTAGGGTCAGATGGAAGAAGCAGGATGGAAGGCACTGAAGACAATTCCAGGCTGGGGAAATGGTGACCCTGAGATGGGACATCAAACTTACACCATCAGGAAATGCATTCTAAAGCTGAGAAGCCTTGGAAAGAGATTTCTTCCCAGTCTCATGCTAGGTGTGACTGTGGAGGACAAGAAACCAGGGAGTCATAGCTGATCTGAAAAAGAGGACAGCACATCACCTCAAAGATCCTAGTCATGAAACCGGAACAAGTAATTGGATGAGACTTTGGCTGATCTCATCAACTAAAATGTGTATAGATGATAGTAGGCTGTTATCACTCCTTCCTGTTTCTTGGTATGGAGCCCAATTTTGCCTGACTGTCCATCTCCCCAACACATGACTAATTACCTGCGGTAATCCTGCCTCCGTGGCCAGCACTTGGTTTAGGAAGGGGCATGTTATCATTCAGGTCAATGAGCTCTGAAAAAGTCTCTGGAGCAACCCAAGAGGAACACTACGAAATTCTTATAAAGGCAGAAGTAGGTCAGGAAAGAGTAGAGGTATTAAGAGTTTAAACGAAGAGTAAGTTATAAAAGGTTATCACATACTGGAGTGGTCAAGAAAGAGATGGAAGGAATCTGGCAATATGGAAATTACTATTTACTGACCTTTGCAACAGGAATTCCAGGGTAATAATGAGGGCAAATGCAATACTATAGATGGTTAAAGAATGAATGGGAAGTGAGGAAAGCAGCAGGTTTTTAAGTTAAGGACAGTGACAGTAGCATCACAGGTCCTTCCTTTATACATGTTGACTCAGTGATTTGATGATGTACAAAGGCCACGTACTGGGTGAGAGCTATGCCCCTGTTCGGGAGTTCAGTATGATGAGATCATATCACAGGAGACATGGCTAGAGAGTTCTAGGGGAGGAAAACTTTTCCTTGATCTTAGGGTTCCTGGCTGGCTTAAAAATCAAACTGACAAAGACAGATTAAAGGAGGAAAGCATACAGATTTACTTACCGTAAGTTTTCCATGACACGGGAACCTTTATAAGAAAATAAAGACTCAAATAAATGGTTAAGCCTGAGCATTTTTATACTAGGTTTGAAGAAGAGCAGAAAGTCACAGAAAAATGAAAGAGAAGGGTATGAGCCAAGGGTAGTAAACTGGAGAAAACTTACGTGGCCTGTTACTTCAGAGGATGAGGAAACGAGTAAGTGGAAGTTACTACTGGGTATAGGGGTATTGGATTAAGATTTTAATTTTCTTATATTTTTCCATTTCTATGTTTTCCAGGCTTAACAATTTTAACTGATCTAATTCCAAATTAGAAAACTCTTTTTTTAATGTGTTTAATATTATTGCTGGGAATGTTTTATTGTTTTCTAACTTTTGGAGCTTGGTAATCCATTGTGTGATATCTAGAAACTGCCATCTGGCACAGTAGAAAGGAAAAATGAGAGGATGAGATTTTGCAATTCTAATCTAATGGATGCTGTTATATAAACTTTTAAGAACACTGTAATACTAGCAACATCTTCTGTATACTTGTTCTTAAGAAACATTTGCTGGGCAACAAAAACACTTGAGAATTTTTACATGATTTATTTAATAATAAACCAATTAAAGATACAAAAACGTTTAGAGGATTCCAAAATTTCAATTTTTGTTTAAATACAAATTCACTTTGTAATATGAAAACATATAACATTAGACCTCTAAACATAATGATTTTTTTCCATCTACAAAAATTTTGCTATACTAGAAAATTTGCAGAAAACAATTTTTCTTGTGAAATTAAATGTACATTATTTACAGCTGAAAAGGTAATCTAAAAACTATTTCATTTCAGAAACTTGGATATATATGTATATTATCTTTGTATGCAATTCCCCCTCCCCCCACTCCCAATAAAAAAATGATCCAAAATATAAAGCAATTACGCTTTTATAGCAACTGACTAGGTCAGGTTAGCCCAAGGCTTGGTTGCTTTCTGGGACCTTAAAGAGCCCTGACTCTTTCAGAATAGCAGTTTATCATTTAGCACTCAGCAGCATAAGACTACTAGGGGACCACAATGCACAGTGGCCTAGAAAGTTAATGAACAAAGTATTTAGGAAGAATTCAGTTCATAGCAGATCTTACAAATAACAGATAAATGAATTTTGTAGGGCCATTAATTTTTCTGCAATATTTTAGCTATATTTACATTAGGAGATAAGCTGATAATGTTTTAATTGATATAACTTTAAAACTTAGGGGTTAGAATCATAAAATTTAGAACTAGATAGGAAATGAGAGATCATCTAGTCTAATCCAATACATCCCTCCTCTGATGAGAACCGAGGCCCAGAAAGACCAAGTGGCTTGCCCACGGTTACACACTAAGGGGAGAGCCACTCGTAGGCTGATGCTTTTACACTATCCTGCTTTGGAAACAGGTTCAGCCATATCGTGGGCACATTTCAATTTTTAATGTTATATTTTACATAGTCATAGTTCAATATACAGTGCAACAAACTAAAGTCAATCCAAGTGAAATCATAATTTTAACAAAGCATAAAATAGGTGTCTTGCATTTGAAACAGTCAAGACTTAACCTATACAAGTGGAATGAAAATAGCTCCTCTATAAATTTCCTGATGCCTTATATTTAAGTACTGTATTTACAAAAGAATCAGAAAAGCTAATATGGTATAAAATTTTAAAAGAAACTTTAAAAATGTTTATGATATAGCCGTTGGAAAAAAAAATCTCAAAAGAATGTCTTCATAGTATAAAATGCCTGTTCCTTCACAAATGAATTCTGAAACATCTGGAGAACAAAGAGAAACACTTGGGTTTTCCTCTCTCATCTAACAAAGTCAAAATTAGCTCTAAGTTACTGTTTTTAACAAGTAACTACAAAGTTAGGAACATTTGTAGAATTTGTCTTAGAAATCAATCAGTTTACGTACAATTGAAAATGCTCAGTTAAAAAACAACCACCCATAATTCCTTTGGTGTGTTAATCAGAAAGCGCTGGGTTCCAGTAGTTCACTTTTCACAGCTACGGGAGAGGTAAATCCATTGGAACTGGACACCACCATCACATAAGGCTGCGGCTGTGGCTCAGTTTCTTCAGTGCCTTCTTTCAAGTTATCTTCGACCTCTTTTTCTCTACTTCCTGCACAGGAGTTTTTGTTTCTTGAGCTTTGATAACTGAAGTGATCACAGTGCCAGGTGGGTGAGCCACCAGCTGTGAGCTGCGAGGAGAAAAGGTCACCACGGGTGTGGTAGCACTGAAGGATGGAGATGAAGCCACGCTGACGGTTCCGTTGCAAACGGACTGAACGCTGCTGGTGAGGACCTGCTGTACGTGGGCAGGGCTCAGGACGATGGAAGGGGGCGAGCCCTGCTTCTGCGACTGCAGCACGACGTTCTCCTTCAGTACTGTCATGGGCTGCGATGATGGAATGGCTTGTAAGATAAACTTCTGAGACCCCGCACCTGATGAGGGGTCTGTGCTGGCTATCACTGTCGTGATTGGCACTGTCTGGAGTGTTACTGTGTGCAAATGCTGGTTCCCAGGAGATACAACCACTGGAACCTGGGCTGGAGCCGGTATGGTCCTGTGGAGATTATGAAATAAAAGGGAGGAAATTAGCATAATCTACATCGTTGAAAACTTTAACGTGTGACAAGTCATTGTGACAAAACATGAGTTACTCACTTCAAATGAGACTTCCCATATTTTCAAAACAACATAAACACTGTGCCTGACCCTGTATTAAACGCTGTACATACAGTGACGCCCAACACAAAACTCTCAGTCCATTAACTATGATACCATCTGGTGAAAAAAAAAAGTCTGTACAATGTGCTTTATTGACACAAATGGGGAAGCAATTATGTTGGAGGAGGAAGACATCAAAATGTTTCACCAAGACTTTATGTAGAAGATGCCTGAAAGAAAATTAGGAATTTTAAAACAAATGTATTGGATTCACTATCATCATTTTAATACCTGATGGATAATATCATTAATATGCTCAGTCAAATGACCAAACATCACATGATTATAATTGTTTCCAACTTGTTTTCCTGTCAAGAGGGAAAACACTCAATTAACTAAAATAAAAAACACTTCAATCTGAAATGTGTATGTGACAGAATTATTAGAAGAATTTTAATAGTTCATGATTCATATCATTACATAAGACAAGTCATGATATAATTAACTCATGAGGTTTCTTCAGGCTGGCAGAGAGAGCAAAAAATAAGGCCAAGCCGTGGCAAAAATAAATAGAGGCATATTTTAGCAGTTTTCTCAGCTCAAATAATTTTCACAAAGTTTAGTCATAAAGCTACAATTTAACAGAAAACCCTTTAACATAAAATCCAGTTTGTATAAGGTTGTTAATCCCATTTATTGAAGAAAAGAGATACATAAATGGTTATGAGTCGATTTAATTTTAAAAGTCCGGAGCTGTGAAATTTATAGTAATGGCCATTGTTACTATAAAACAAATGCAGTTGAAAAAATTCAGCACCTGGATCTCAACTGTGTTTCCCCCGAATTCTGTAAAGCTATTTTACAAAAGAGGGATAACTGCTACTCCAAATGGCTAAGAGCTGGATTAGTCCCCATAAACCAAATGTTAATTATTGCCAGGAAATCACTGCAGGTAAATTTTAGTCAGTTGTAGTTATGCGGCCTGTCATATGTGAGAAATGAAATTCTGGAGGAGAAAATAGATGGGCTAGGTGAGATGAAGACTCAGCACGACTCATGAGAAGCTCAACGAAGCAGACACAACGCAGGACAACTAGGGCCCACCCATTCGTGTAGGGTACCGACTCCCAAGTTCCGTTTGTCACCACGGTCACCACTGTGAGGGTCAGCCTACTGCAGGATATCGGCAGCTCTTTGGAAGGACACTGCTAGAAGAGAATATGAGTCAGGTGATGAAGATTTAATAGGTTGGCAGGGTATGACTAGGAATAAAGGCCAGATGTACTAACATTATTGAGTGAGCAGGAAGGATACAGAATAACTTTGGGAATTAGGACATCCTTCCAAAATACACTGTGCCTCCCTTCTTCTCCCCTGCCTGCCTGAATCAGGATATCCTAAGTGGAATCTAAACCTGAGCGTGGGTACCTGACCCTACAGACAGATACCATTTTTTAAATAAAAAGGACCCAAGGGCTTCCCATGCAAGAGTTCATGCACACGTAGTGTACATACAGATCAACAGTACTTGACTTATCGTAAGCATACAGATTGTCTCTATAAACATGGATAGCCTTGCCCCTCTATCAGTACTATGATCCCCATTTTACATGTGACAGGAAACTGCACAAAGAAGTTGAACAGCTTGCCTAAGGTGACCAGTTAGATAGGAAGTCATCCAACTGCAGAGCCTCTGTGCTTAACCATGACAACATCCTGCCACTTCTTGAGTCCTAAATAACTTCAGCTAAAGGTGAACATTTACTTTCACATCTTTAAACTGTGGGGAGTTACAACTCTTTAATACACACCTTCCCTCTCTCAGGTGTGGCATGAGCAATAATGTACTTGGAAAATTTCCATACTGCTTATCAGGGCTACCACTAGATGGTCAATGTTTTTTTCAAACAGAAAAAGGATAACCCTTTCTTGAAACACCTGACTGCCATCTGCCAGAAAATATATACTGATGTACAAAATCTACAACATAAATATATTGGCTTATTTGAACAAATTCCAAAACAATTTAATTTTCACAAAAAATTCAGAGATTAAAGAATAAAGTATTACACAGCCTTTTCTCAACCACAGGAAATTTAAATTATCTTTTTCTGTTAATGCATGAACTGTCAGTTGTGCCTGGTTACATTATATGGTATAACAAAGGTCATATTACAGTTTACTACTTAAAAAAATTCTCCTAAGCTGCTTGTAAACAACTAGTACAATACTGGTAATTTAAAATTCCTCAAACTTTCTGAAGCTAAGAAAGCTATACAATATAACATTTAGCTTTTGTTGAATACTTACTTAGCTGTCAGGAAGTGTCTTTTAATTGTTATAACTACCTGTAAGGTTAAGTAATACTAATCTTTATTTTATAGTTAGAATAGTTAATTTGATCCAATGTCACATCTAATCATTGGCTGGAAGGCTGGAAGGCTAGAAGGTTATGCCCACATTCTTCCTACTCCATCACATTACTTTTAAGGTAACCTACACATTATATATTTTCAGAGGCTAATTTATTAAAAAAGGCCTAAGACAAACTATCAGTGCTTGAATAACACTATAGAGAAATAAATTATACCAGGTAGGTATATGGACTTCCAAGTTTACCAAGAGACAATTTGAGGAAAATATTTTACCAGAGGTTTATTTTTGTGAAGTCAGAGTCAAAATTAAGATTTGTAAAACTGAGTACAAATACCATAAATCAATTAAGAAGAATTTAATCAATGTCAATATAGATACAGCTGGCCCTCCATATCCATCGATGGTCTCCATGTCTGCAAATTCAACCAACTGCCAATGGAAAATATCTGCCTCCCCCCAAAAAATTCCAGAAAGTTTCAAGATGCAAAGCTTGAATTTGCCACATGCTAGCAACTATTTACACAGCATTTACACTGTGTTACGTATTATAAGTTATCTAGAGATGACTTAAAGTATATGGGAGGATGTATGTAGGTTATATGAAAATACTATGTATGCCATTTTACATAAGGGGCTTGAGCATCCTCGTATTTTGTTATCTGAAGGGGGTTCTGGAACCAATCACTTGAGGACACTGAGGGACAACTGTATGTGCCATTATGTGAGACAAAAATAAATGAGCAAAGAAAAAAATTGAGAAAAAACATGTTGCTACCTCATTGTAAGTAAGTGATAATTCATGTGATTACATGAATCAACTGGCAGGACAGCAAATCATTAAGCTACTGCTTTAGGGGTATTTGAAATACTCAGGGGTGAAAAGTCATGGTGATGTCAGCTGACTTGACAAATAGTGAAACAAATAAGGGTATAAATAAAAACAGAAGAGGAATAAGGCAAAATGCTATAAATTCTGAATTTCGATGGATAGTAAGTAGGTGTTCAATGTACTATTTCAACCTTTCCATTTTTTGAAATTTCTTGTAACAAAAAGTTGGCATAATTACAGTGAAAATAAGTAGGATTTTGGGGGGGGGAATAAAATGTAACCAAATGAGAGAAGAATTTTTTTTAGGTCAAAGGAATTTAGAATGTGTGTGGATACATACATACATATAAATATAGAATAATTTCTACAAGAATAAATTGTTTTAAAGTTTGAAAAGTTTAACTTTGTATCTTCATTTTATAGGTAGTTTACATAGAGAACTCATTACTCTAAGAAGAGATAAAGAATGATAATTTACACTACTTCAAATAAATTCTATAAATATGAAGGGGTGTTATATATCAGACTATGTTAGGTGCTGGGAACAGGACGATGAATAAAATCTAGCTCCCAAAGATTTAAATACATAGCAGGAGACAGGTGTTAAGTCAACTAAAACACCTGGCTCAGGTACAGAATGTGGTTCAGGCAAGTAAGGAGCTTCAGCTGGAGAACAAGGAAGGCACCATGAACAGACTGAGCGCTGGCGTGGGGGCTGTGGAAACTGGCCTGCACTCTGTGGGCAACATAGATCTAACAAAAGCTGCAATATCACAAATGCTGACTTTTGACCCACTTAACAAGGAATGGCTCTGGTCAGAAACATGACATAATGAAATGCATCAGTAACATTTAGATTACCAGAGGCAGGAAGCAGGCAGAATCTAGAGAACTCTCAGAGAATTTGGAAATGAAGATTTTGAAAAATATATAGCAAAGACAGCTTGAAAATCACAGGCAGGGAGTATTATTAGAATGTTTTAATATCTGGCACTGAGTTTTTTCCTGAAATTGACATTCACAGTAATAAAGTATCCAATACAATATCATAATTTAATATCTTTCATTGCTAGAGGTGTGTGTTTTTGTTGTTGTTTTTCTTCTGGTTTATTTTTATTCTTAAGGCCTAAAAAAGAAAATTCTGATTAGACGTGCTTAAAAAAACAACTGAATCAACCCAAGAAGGGAGTCCCAGTGATCAGCTGTGGCCATTGTATGCTTCTTATCAACACAAATACACACGATGATAACACGGCAGAGCTCAGAAACCAATGGGAGGAACCACATGTTTCCTATTAACCAGTAGTCATAAGTAACCAACAGAACTTAGAGGAAAACAAAACCTTATAAGGAAAATAAAGTTCAATAGGTACTTTTTTAATTAAAATGGAAAAAATGTGGTCTTTATACTCACAAGTCAACAATTTAACAGAACTCCATCTGAGAAAATTGCATCTTCCCAAGAAATAATGTGTATTTCCTTTAACTCAGTGCAATTCCAAAAGGTCATGATATGTCCATTTACGGAAAATTTTTATAGCTTCTAACTTTGAAAAATAGTATCACAGTTTAAAAATAAAGAACCACCGATACAATCTGAGGACTGATGTACTGCTGCTGAAACAATCTGCTGACCAAGAGCTCTAGCTTGAAATCTATATAATTTTTATTCTCACTTTTGAATCCCAGCACATTTAACAAAAGATGACTCTGGTCAGAAACCTGGCACGATGATGTGCATCGGTAACTTTAATTTTCTCACCTAATACTCTGAACGGAGGAATTTAATGCTTCATCCTGCACGCTGCTGGTTGTCTCTCCCTCCGGAACAGCCTGTACCGGCTGCACCACGTGAATAGTCCGGAAGAGCTGCGTAGGGTACGGCGTCTGCGTGGGCGGCACTGTCCTCAGAACCTCTGACGGCTGTGCCACTTCCACGGGCTCTTTGGGTTTTGCGGCTTTAGAATTCCCTGCTTTCAGCACTGTAGTGGCTCCTCCTTTTATCCCTGGACTGCAAGATGAAGATACTCTCGACCGGCTTGCTTGGTTCCTGCTCGAGGTGGTGGTTGAAGACAGTGATGGGTCTGAAGAGTCCATGCTGGAACTTGGATCCTCATCATCTATATAAATCAGATCTTTTGGCATATCCTTAAACTGATACACCAAACGCTGACCTTCTACTTTTGCCAGAATACCCCTTTGGTAATAGTACCTAGTCAAAGCAGACAATATTATCAATATTTTGTTCAGTTAAACAAACTAAAATAATATTCAACACAATAAAAATTTCTGAATCATATACAGAAGTTAAAAGTTGGAGACCAACAAAGGAGAAAAGAATTTCTAAATGAGGGGTGGCTATTTTATTTCCCTTCCATAGCTTACTGTAATGTCCCTATTGGTTTAAATTTGATTCAGTAAATGTGATACAGTTTTCTGTGTAAAACTTAATGATGTACAAATAGAAGTGATTCAGATTTGGGCAGTGATTTTAGTTAAATCAAGAACCTAAAAACTGTAAGTTTAAAAATAAAACACAAACTGTAACTAAATAATTCTGGTTTAAGAAGGTTATCAAATTATCAGATCACTGCTATTTCTAATCTTTCTCAAATATACACAGATCTTGCAGACTAAATGACATGATCACAGAATAACAAACTAAAAGAGGGTTTAAGGGTAAATAGGTACCTTCGTTCAACATTTTTACGATGTCTAATACTATTCTCGAAGCATTAATTTATTCCAAAATAACATACTACATACACATCATATCTGAGATTCACATTTTAAAATGGACCCTCTTATTAAGTACATGCATTACCACTGTTTGTTACTTTGTGCTGAATTTAAGTGTAATGGCTCAGAACATATGAGCCTTGTGGTCGATTTACAATCCCCGATGACAGCTTAACATTTTCTGATCCCTTTATAAATAAAATATCTGTTGTTTTCATGAAGACTTTGGGGGAAAAGAGAACATCTTCCCCGACTGGAATAAGATTTCAATTTAAATACATACTCATTTCTATAAGTAGCGTGGGCTCAGTACTTCAGTAGTAACACTCACCATTTCTTTAATCCTCTGACTTTTGAGTATTTAGGAAACGATACGCTTAACACAATGAACTACAGAAACTTCACGCACCTGAGAGCTCTTCCCATGGTCTCATAATTCATGTCAGGTTTGTTTTTGTGCTTCCCCCACAACCTGGATACTGCTTTAGAATCTACCAATTTAAAAATGCCTTTTTCTCGCTGGGTCCATTTGATATATTTAGGACAAGTAGCTTTGTCCTGGAGCAATGCCAGTAAAAACTCCCAAAGATAAATTGTGTTTCCTGAAACAAAAGCAATTTCTTTTTAACTGACCAAAAACTCATTTGAAAGAGCACAAAATAAAACACAACTGAAAGTCTTATTAAGTTCCATCTATAATTATACAAACTTATTACACAATTCAGTTAGTACTGGTGATACAATGCTCATAATTTTTAGGGTCTAATACACATCTTTTTATTAGTCCCATAAAAGATACCTGAACAGAGCAATCCTGCCAATTAGATTTGTGATGACTTAGGGAGAAAGCACTTCAAGACAATTTTTTCCAGCCTTTTTAAGAACCATTATTACATAGAAGAAACTGAATAGGAGTTGTACAAAAACTTTCAATAGTTGTTCTTTTTATATTAAGAGCCAGCAGATTAGTCTCAACAATCTTCTTCAACTTGGGCAGCAGTTATGAAAATACTAGAACTCCAAGACAATGTAATATGTAACTGAACTGAATGTAAATGAACTGAAAACCGAATGTGGCTAAATTCTTCCAAGAGACTTAGCATTAAACGAAAGGATAGATGATTTTGACAGGTACGTGAAAACCTCCTGAACAGATTTCTTGGCTTGCATTATTACCAGTCCCCTCACAAAAAGTGGCGACCGTATCTTATAAGCATTTCAGTAGAAGCTTGTGGTTTCTACTTACAACATGCAGACATTTTAAAGCAATCCGAATGTTACCTGACCTGTAAGTATTATAGGGAAATTACAGTAGTACTTACCCTTCCCATCTTTATTTTTCTTCTTCACAGATATGTTGGGTGTAGTGGTGGGGGAATCTGGTCGTGGTGGTTTCGTTTTTCTCCCTGAAATCAGAACAGCTCTTATGTAAGTATGTGCCTCCCAAAGTGAGAGAGAATGGACAGTTTAGCTGTTTATAAATGCTATTTTGTCATTTATCCTAAATTTCAAGTACCAAACATTTTGCCCTTTATATATTGAACACATATACTGGCTTCCTAAATGCTATTTATTAAAAGGAAAGTAACTTCAGTAAAAATTTAACATTAATACAGGTTAGATCACAAACACTTTTATGCAGAAAACAATACTTTGGCTCATTTGCAAACATGAGGTTAAGTTTAAACTTTACATTTTGTCTCTGAGGTGATGATAGTGACAGTGCTTTCTTAAAATCTGGGGGAATATTCTTGATGCTGATAAAACCTGAGCTCAAAAAATAAGCCAGATATGTTTGTCTGCCTCTTGATTACATAAGTTTTTTTAAGGCAGGAGAAGTGGGTTTTTAGCTTCTCTCTCTTCTAAATATATCTGTCTATAGTTAGTTCTCAAATATTGAAAACTGCCCAAAACTTCTAGATACAAAAAATAAGTGAGGCAAAATTTTGGTAAACCACAAGGTCAATTTTTATTTTCTTGTGTATTTTTAAACATCTCATTGTTCTATATTTCTTTCAATTTACAGCAAGCAAACTTTACAGTTATCCATCATCCAGTCTCTAGACAAGTTCATTGCAACAGCGTTAACTGTATTTTGTGCAGCCTTAGTCTGGGTCAATCAACTATTCCAAAGCCGTGTTTGTGCTCTTCTTGTGCCACTTATCTAGAACCACAACTTGGCAGCAGTGTTGCCTAAGATTTACATTGAGGTGAGAACGCTGTCTGAACAGATTATCGCTCTGTATATGAGACAATGAAGATTAAGCATAAAATGGACACCTTAGTTAGTATCTCTTACCCCAACATCCTTGAGGCTGACTCTCACTGGTCTAGATCACAGGGGTGAAAGCTGGGGTAATATAATATAGGGTAGTAACTTAGAAAAGCAGAATTTGAGAACTAAAGTCACAAGGTTAGTAACAAAACATCTGCAGACAAACTGAATAGGAAAACACCTCTGAAGTGAAGGTGAGTAAGCATCAAGGAGAAGAGGTTCAAAAAAGTCACTCTGCAGGCCAGGTCCCTCCTAAGACTACCAGATGTATAAATGTGGAACCTGGTGGTATCCATCACTGTTCATGAGACAGATACTTGTAGCTAACTGTGCTAACAAAAATAACACTAGAAGCCACACTTCAGTTAGCTCCTGTCCCTCCTACCAACTTATTTTCTGCTTTCTATTTACCAGCTTTCTCTGACAGATAATGTTTTCGCTACCCCACTGTATTCCTCCACTAGTTTACCCATTCACCTATGGATGGAGACTTAGAGCTGTTTCCAAATCTTGGCTACTGTGAATAATGCTGCAGTGAATACAGCAGTGCAGGTATCTCTTTGACAACTTGCTTTCAGTTCCTTTGGCTACACACCTAGAAGTAGGATTGCTGGATCATACAGAATTTGTAGCTTTAGGTTTTTGAGGAACCTCCATACTGTTTAGTGTAGTGGCTGTATCAATTTAAATTTCCACCAACAGTGTAGAAAGATTCTCTTTTCTCCACATCCTTGGCAACATTTTCTCGTCTTTTTCTATGGCTACCTCTAGCCATTCTAACAGGCGTGAGGTGATATCTTACTGTGGTTTTCATTTGCACTTTCCTGATGATTAGTGATATTGAGCATCTTTGCATATACCTGTTGGCCATTTGTATGTCTTCTTTAGGAAAATGTCTACTCAGGTCGTCTGCCTATTCTTTAATTGGATTGTTTGGGGTTTCTTTGCTCTTGAGTTATGAGTTCCTTACATGGTTTGGAACATTAACCCCTTGTCAGATAAATGGTTTGCATATATATTTCTCCCATTCTGTAGTTGCCTTTTCATCTTATTGATTATTTCTTTTGCTGTGCAGAAGCCTTTTAGTTTAATGTAGTCTCACTTATTGACTTTTGCTTCTGTTGCTTGTACTTTTGGTGTCATATCCAAAAAATCTTTGCGAAGTCAGGTTCTGTTACTCCACCTTGATTCGAAGAGGGAGTTTCGCCTGGTATTTTTTTAGCAGTCGCATTCTTTGATGATGTGTTTTATTCTTTTGCTTTAATAATTACAATCATATTCATTGAAAGTTTCTATTTGACAATTCTGTTGTCTGAGGTTCTCAGAGATCTAACCCTAGGACTTTCGGCGCCTGCTACTTCTCATTCAGGAAGTAATCTTCCTTAAGTTATTTTGTGATAATGAAATGTGAGTTCACCTTCAGCAGGGTTTTATTTGTAGAAACTCTGTGCAGCCTGGATCAAGTATATGACTTGCGAAAGCAAATTTTACAAGAGTTTTCCCTGGTACCCAAAGTTATTGCCTGCTGGGAGGCCATTCTTATGTTAATTACTTGGCTGGAAAATTCTGACATCAGTGGTAGTTGGAAATCTAATCATACACCTAGGTTAACGCCAACCTAGGACTATGAATTCTCAAAGGAAAAATTTCTCCACCCAGCTGAGAAGTATAAGCTTCCTTAATACTGTCTGTGCCAATGCGTGGACTGTTTTTCCCCTTAGGGTATGGTCTTTCAAAGGATCTCAATCACATGCTGAGGTCTCTGTCTAATACCCCTATTTGCATTGGACCAAGACTGAAGCATCTGCCTCTACTTGGGTAATAAAACCGAAGCCCCTCAGACATCCAGACTGATGTGTCCTCCTCAGCCCTGCAGAGGTCCTGCAGTGTCAGCTCATTCTTACTATTGTTATTTTTCTCTTCATTTTTGGCCCCTGAAATTTCCCTTACTTTCATGTGCAGTTAGGTTACGCGGTGGCTGCTGCTGATGCCATTAACTAAGATATCAAACTCAAAAACACTGAACAAGCTGGAGTAGAATCAAAAGGCAATGAAACGGAAATAGTGTTGGACTTCAGAATGTAAGTATGGTCCTAAGCTGTGAAAAGTTAAAAATTCCCTTTAACACATTCTAACATGTTCCTGTTCAGTTACTTACCTGCTGAATTCTAACCTGTATTTTTCTCATTGAAACCTTATATTGGAACCTATACCTGTGGTTTTCAAACTATGTTCTGCAGGAGGAAACTGACTTGCCCTTACCCCTGAGCTCTTTCTGAACTTAGATAAAAGGGTTTAGAAAAAAGAGTCAGGCTTTAAAAAGTTGGAAAATCCCTTTTCTATGAGATAGACCAAATATTTTAAAAGTATAAAATGATTTTTCTAAAAAATGAATCTAATACAAAGAAATACCTCTTACTTTATGTTTTTGTACCTTCAATTTTATTCTTATATAAGTTTTTACTGGTGTAGAAATACCCTTGAATAAAAATTGTATTTAGCTTCCAATCAAGAGTTGACTGCCCTAAACAAATTAACCACTCACCTTTCTTTCTCTTAGGTTGTTCTGGTGATGAGGGTCCTGGTGAGTGTGCGTATGTCTCTTGAACCGGCTGAGTTTCCATCACTTCGGGAATCCCATCTAATGTGACGGATACATGGGTGATTGGGGCAACAACAATGTCATCTTCAGATGAACTAAACATATTATTATCTAATGGAAATAAAATCAACTAATTATAATCAACTTTGTATTATAAATCAAAATCATTTCAGAAAATATTTCCTGTTTCTTTGAAGATTAAAGTAGAAATAAAATCCTGAAATCAACTCCTTGCTTTTTATTTCCTCTGTATTAAGTCAAGTACCCTGAATCAATCAGGCTTGATTGGACTATTTCAGTGTCTTCCTTACTTGACTTCCTGTCCCCAGTCTATCTTGTCTCTCTGCTCCATTCTTCACATTGCTAAGGTTTTTCTCTGAAATCCGAGCCTGATCTGATCACACTCTTCTTCGCTATAAAAACTTTACACCATGGAAATTAGAAAGAAAAATAAAATTGACATATCTTCCCATAGTTTACAGGAGAAAAAAGGTAAGAACAACCCAAACTCCATAATATGTCATTTGAAGCTTCCAGAGTCTACCAGCCACCATGAAGCTTACACTTCACATTTTTATCGCAAACATTTCTTTTTTCTTTTTTAAACAGGTATGTGTCTTTGGTTCAGTCCATTCATTCCCTCTATCTTGAATGTCCTTTCCTGTCTTCTCTACCCATGAAAAGCTTATTTGCCATTTACAGCCCAGGTCAACACACTCCGTGTATAGAGCCTGTCCCTGACGTTCTCAGCCAGAGTACTCTCTCCTTCCAGAACACTTTGCTATCCCTCTCATGGCCTTTATTTTTGGCTTTTACAGTTGTTTACATAAACATTTGTCCTCAAAATCAAACTGTAAGCTTGAAGAAAGAAACAATATCTGTTCATTTCCATATCATGTCATCGTCTAATGCATTGCTGAGCATATAGAGAATATTCTATAAACATCTTGAATTGATTTAATAATATTAATTATATGGGTTTGACTACTTTCTTGTCAGAAAATCCCAAAGGAGAACATGGATTTAAAAGCAGATCAATAAATGTGGCAGTCAATTTTATGCCATGAAGCTTTAGAAAACTTTTCAATGGATTTTTGCCTATTCGCTGATGAGTATCTATGGAGATCACTACATTTTAATAGTTTGGGTCCCTAAACATCCTAACAGTTCACCAATGAGGTTAAAGCAATTCTGCATTATCTGCTATTTGACAACTACATTACTTTTTATTCCTAAAGTTCTCACTCTTCAAATTAAAAAAAAGTCTTGTTTAACTGAACACTTTAGCAAAGGTGCCTCGACTAGTACTATACCTGAAAATGCACTTGAGATCCCCAAAATACAAAACACGGACTCTGGTCTCTTGATATTCACCATCTAATACAGAGAAGTGGCAAGAGCTTTTCAAAGGATACAGACACGCAGTCATTAACACACAACCACTCACTGATGCGTTTTTCATCCAGCATGGGGCCAGGAGAGTCCATGTTAAGGAGTGCCTCAGCAGCCTCGATAGTTTCAATCGTTTCATCCCCATTGTGACAGGAAGCTTCGACTACGAGACGTGTAAAGAGAGAGAATTAGCTACAAGACATCTGTTGTTCTAAAATGCATAAATTCCTATCTCTTGAACCAGGATACATCACTTAATACTTTGGTTTACACCCTTACTTTGTATCAACATATAAAATCTATACTGAAAATGACCAGGGCAGGGAGTGTATAGCGCAAGTGGTAGAGCACGTGCTTAGCATGCACGAGGTCCTGGGTTCAATCCCCAGTACCTCCATTAAAAAAAAAATAACAACAAATAAAAAAATAGACCTAATGACCTCCCCACCTAAATAAATAAATAAAAATAAATAAAAATAAAAATAAATAAAATGACTACATTTCTCACTGAATTCTGCAAGATGTGGGGTTTTCGTCAAAAACAACAACAACAAAAAACCTCTGCAAGATGCTGGGAGGTAAAAGAGTAAGCAAAATAGAACTCATACTCTAAAAGCCCTATCATTTCTCTGATAATCCTTGTATTTTCAAGATAAACTAAGATGTCACTGGGCAGGTCATGCTGTTGACTCCACAGTATAAAATGACTGGGTTGATAAGACTAGGTCCCCTTCAGCTCTAATGCTGATTCCAATACTCTTAGTTCACTCATAGGAATGGACACAGGTCTCTGTTAACTTCTGACTCCTCTTCTGCTCCTCTATAATTAGTAAATTGCCACCATTTCCAAAAGTTTTACTTGTAGTCACATTATTAGCATCTAAACACTTCTTGATAATTACTGTATTCTGGTACCTTTCTTCTCCAGTGTGGACAACAGAACACCAATTCCCCTACTCTGAACTGTGCCTAGTCCAACTTCTTTTAATGTTCTTTAAAAATACTGAAATATAAATGAAGTACATGCTAGACACTCAACACTTCCCAGCATTTCAGACAGATGTCCAAAATATCTGTACAGTGAATTCCTTGGATGGCTTTTAGCCCTTCACCTCTACGATCAGCACCAAGAAACCAAATAAAGAGCTACCAACACTCTCTCTTCATGGATAAGTTTGAGTTTCCTGAATGTGGTATTTATCATCCATAATCCTTATACTAACTTTCTGTATCTTCCTCTCAGTATTTGTGACAAAATTAAACATGTTTATTTTAAAAGTTTGAATATATATATATATATAAACATGATTTTCAGATTCAGGGTTGGACTGACAACGAACAAAACTGTTAGTCAATGAATGTAAGCCTTTTAATTTTATACAGGGTTAAAAAGTAAACATAAACATAGTACTTGAAGCAAAAGTTCTTTCTTCTCAATCAAGTGGATGAAAGTTATCATTTACACATTGTCCTCTCCCTATTTCTAGTCAATCCAGAGAAGGAACAAAATCATTTTCCTTCACATTTTTAGGACTATAACCAGATTTCTAAGAAATTATAGCTCTTTGAAATTTACCTTAACTTTCCATTAGAATATTATAACATTTATTTTCCTAAATATTTCCTAAACAATTCACACTCTCTTTAGACTGAAGATTTCCAAGAACCTAAAAACTCTTCCACTGACTCCGAATTTCTAATCAGCAAAAATACTGAACATCCCTCCTAAATAAGTGTACGAGGAAATATGGAAGATACAATAGCGTAAGACACGACCTTTCTCCTTATTTATTGGTAACCGATACTCAGATACTGTCTAAGAAATAACAAAGTGATCCGTTTTATGGTCCAGAAGAGACTGACTACAGGTACTGTATATCACTGTAAGTTAAGAAGGCTTTCTGAAGAGATGGGCTAAGGCTAAATCATTTCAAACAGCTAGGATTTAAATACTTTAAGAGGAAGAGAGAAAAATTAAAGCAAGAATAATAGGAGAAGCAAGGGCATGAGAGTAAGCATTATGCATTTAAAGAAAATGAGATAATCAGTCTATGCAGTTAGAAAACAAAAATGTGTAACTGCTAAAGATTATTATAATAATAGCAGATTAGTTAATTCACTTTATAAATTGATTAATTTGGCTGACTGCCTTCCCAAGGGAGGAATCCCACAATGGGAATGGAAGGAAGGCATGGACTACCGAAGGAGCAGAGAGCTGGGACAACTCCTGAATGATGCATACAAAGAAGTCGGGGACCTCAGGTCATACGCTAGTCAGCTCCTCTCAATTAAGAACGAAGAACACTTTCTCCCATAGAACAGTGGTCACCACTGGGAGTCCCCACAACCTGCCCAGCCAGAAGAGAAGCTCCTTCTTTCAGATACGAAAGATGTATCTGCAGAATTCCAAACTTCTGGGCTCAATTCTCTCAGCAAGCATCTTTGAACCCAAACATCTACAGGTCACAGGGAGGTCAAGGAACAGGAAGACAGTCAATATGAAGAGGCAAGGATTTTGATCTAGCTGGGCTTCTTCTAGATCAAACAAGGGTTGAACAGCAATTCAACACTTATGAAGTCTTCCTTTTTCAAAGACTTTAAACTTTTCCTCTTAAAGCCAGCACTCATATTTCTGGGTTACTATAAAAGGTACTTTAGAGAGCTTGAATAGATTTTTGACTAGTGCCTCACTTCTAAAAATATGTGTCCTTTTCATTTCCATATCAAGATGCACAAAACCTCACTAGAAGACTTTTAATAGTCTTCCTAATAAGGAAACTGTTTCCCTTAATTATAATGAAAATAAGTCAATTACATTTTAATTATATATTCTATTAAAAACAAATGCTTAAAAGTCCAATTCCTCCACAGTAGTTAAAACCAGAAAGGATAAATACCTCAAAAAGTCTAGCAAAATGATTAAAACAGGGCATGGCATTGTAACACTTCCTATTAAAAACTTAAGCTTCCTATTGAAAATCTTGTAGATTTAAGGCAAAGTTAAAAAAAAAAAAGCATATTGCTCCTGTGTCAAGGCTTTCAAATTCTAAGAATTGAAGAAAATATCCTTCTTAAATTTAATTTAAAAAAAATAAGGCAAACATGGCACAGATAACTAAATAATTTCTATAATTCCAGATATTCATTTACATGAATAAGTTTTATAAAATATTTTAAAGTCTTCTGGATAGATGAAAATGATAAAATTAGTATGTGTAATAATTTAGCTGCCTATCAATTTAGCAAAAACAAGGAGAATTTCAAATCACTTCTTTGTTGAGCTTTTTATAATGAAAATTTCAAACATGTATAGAAGTAGAGAAAGTAATATAATGAACTGAATGTACCCAAGGGCCCAGCTTCTATACTTAAAAACAGCCACTCTTCCTTAATCTATACTCCCCAGCCCAACATACGCAGGGTTATTTTACATTGAATCCCAGACAGCCTATCATTCAATTTTAAAAGTTCATTAGTCTTTAAATCAGATATCCATTTAATACTGAAACTTCTCTGTCTCAGGTGTTTTAAAAATTTCGTTTGTTCAAATCAGATTTCAAAGTTCATGCATTATGTTTGGTGGTATGTACCTTTCTTCCTATGTTTTTTTTCTTTTTGTTGTTTATCTTGGGAGAAGTACGGTCATCTCTGTAGTTTCCCACATTTTAGACTTTGCTGATTACATCTCTGTGGTGTCACTTACCATATGCCTCCCCCTCATGTATTTCCTGTAAACCCGTAGTTGTATCTAGAAGATTGATTTGATTCACATTCAATTTTTTGGCACGAATACTTCAAAGGTAATGTTATGTAACTCTGTATTCTCTGCGTACTATACTGGAGACCCTATGTGATCCTATGTATTCTGTGTATTCTTGTGTATTCTTTTCTCTCGAAGGTAACTGGTCTTCTTTTAGTACTGTCAGGACTGAGAACCACATATGATGTGTGATTAGTTTAAGTTGTTGATCTGTTAAGTTTATACACATTTTATCAAACCTGCATTTTTACTCCCCATTGAGATAAGTCAATGAAAAAAATAAAAGTGTTTTGATGAACACGAAAATTTGAAATCAGGGTTACAGATGACAGCTGCCATCTAATAGAAGCCTCAATTCCAGAAAAATAGTTCAATCTTTTCATTATTGAAAATTTCAAACAGAATCAAAATTATGGGAAACAGTGTAATGAATTCTCACATATCCATTTTCATCATCACTCTTTATCAACATATGATCAATCTTCTTTCATTCATACTCCACTTACTGCCCAAGGCCCCCCTCACACATGCCTTGTCGCCCAGGATTATTTTGAATGAATCCATGACATCATATTTTATCTGTAAATATTTGAGCATAGGCATCTAAAAGATAAGAATCTAACATAATGCTATTATCATGTCTAAACATATTAACAATATTCCTTAACATCATCTGAAGTCTTACCTATGTCTCATAATTACAGTTTATAAACTGTTCTATCCCCATCACCATCTTCCTTGTAGTTTCTCAAAAATGCAGTACTCTCCCCTCCCCTCCTCTGGACTAAGGAAGGCTACAAGGTCCTTTCATTTCTCAAGATGTGACTCAAACAAGTATGGAAGAGTTAAACAACAGCTCGAATTGCAAGAGAGAAGAAACATGCAAATAGTAAATCTGACTTTCAACATACGGCTTATTTTCTGGACCCATTCCATATCAGTTCTCTTTTCCAGGAAGGAAGGAGCTTGTCTGTATCTTGTCATCGGCTACCTTTAAGTCTAAGCCCAAGAGAGTGCAGTACTGAAAGGAAGAAGTAATTTCTTCTACTAAAGATCCAGGATCTGCTTTCCTAGTCACTATTTCTTCTCTGAGAACCAGTATCTTCCTTGATTACTAAAACAGGAATAAACACCCCTTCAGGGAGACCCTGGTTCCCAACCCACAGAGAGTGTAGCCTTACCCTAAGGCATCAAGAAGGTAGATCAGAATACACTGCAAAAACCCCATTAGGAACACAACACTTATGTGCATAGTGGTGGTCATTCTGTTATACAAAACACAAAGATCACAGTCAGCAATGAGTAGAAACTTCTAATCTGATTAATCTAATTCCCTTACTGATAAAGGAGACACAAGTCTAGATTTATCAAAAACTTTCACTGGGTTGTTCTGACCAAATAATGTCAATATATAAGAACATGCTTTGTAAAAAATAAGAGGACAATACAAAAACTAAATGTTCTTGGTCAATGTTATTGATGGGGGCTCAGTCAGTTGGTGTGTGACCTTAGGCAAGTCATTTAATTTAACTTCTCTAATTTCAGTCTTCTTTTTCTGAGAATTAAATGAGATAATGTACTTTAAAAAATCAACTATGCTAATATGACATCAGGAAGGAGACAATGCCATTCTGGTGTTATTTTTGCTCAAATGCATTATCTCATTCCAATCATGAGAAAACATCACAGAAATAAAATTGAGGGTAAGCCAGAAAGAGAAAGAAAAATACCATATGAGATCGCTCATATGTGGAATCTGAAAAAAAAAAAAAAGAACATAAAGACAAAACAGAAACAGATTCACAGACATAGAATACAAACTTGTGGTTGCCAAGGGAGCAGGGGGTGGAAAGGGACAGACTGGGATTTCAAAATTTGTAGATACTGACAGGTATATGCACAATAGATAAACAAGATTATACTGTATAGCACAAGGAAATATATACAAGATCTTGTGGTAGTTCAGAGTGAAAAAAAATGTGACAATGAATATATGTACGTTCATGTATAATTGAAAAATTGTGCTCTACACTGGAATTTGACACAACATTGTAAAATGACTATAACTCAATAAAAAAGTTACAAAATAACAAAACTTGAAAAAAATAAAATAAAATAAAAAAATAAAAGTTCCTTGTACAAAATAATGTTCATTGTATACTGTGGGGAAAAAAAAGAAATAAAATTGAGGGACATTCTATAATATCTGGCTGGTACTCCTCAAAAATGTTAACGTTATGAGAGATAAGGGAAGACAGAGGAACTGTCACAAACTGGAAGAGACTAGGAAAAAAAACCAACTCACTGCAACGTGAGAGTCCGAATAGGATCCTGGAGCAGAAGACGGATATTAGTGTAAAAATGGGTGGAACACAAATAAAGTCTAGGCTTAGTTGATGGTAATGTGACTAATGTTAATTTCCGGTTTTTAGCGTAAGAATAAATATTCAAATAACCTTTGCTTCCCAAATAATTTTCTCAAGTACCTCCAACATCTCTGGCCAAGATATATGGATGTAAATGTATAAAAATAAAAATAAATGCATGTACCAGGTTCTAAAACGAATGAAAAAGTACTACTGCTGCCTCAACACTTACATAGAGAAATCTTCAGTATGAGATATTCTCCTAGTTCCAACTGAACAAATCTCGAACTCCAGCACCTTACCCTACATTTGGAGCCCAGCCTCCTATTTTGCTCCCTGCAGTAGCAGTAACAAAAGAACATTCCTACCATCTGCCCTACGAACAACTTCTCATTGTTATCACGAATTCAGAGCTGGGCCTACAAACAGTGCTCAGTGAAGACTCGATGAGTTGAGTTGGTTTGGTTCCTCTTACTCGCCTCCTAGTCTGTCACACTCACCTCCACATGTTCAGGGGAGAAGAAGGGGGAGGCGAGAGCACTCAGAAGCACAGGCAGATGAGAAGGACAATGTCATTTCCTTCCCCCTGCAGGACTCCAGCCCCTGCTGGTGATGGAGTTACTCAAGACCACATCAGGGACTTTGTACACCCCCCAAATCACAGCGCCACGCCTATGCTGAAGGAAGGTGCTGCTGGAGGCACACACACCTGTGAGGGTGATGTCATCGTCATCTTCATCTATGATTTCCTCTTCGGCGACATCCAGGGAGCTCTCGGTAATCATGTCATTGGGCTCCTCCACACAGGCGAGACCCGCATAGCTATTGAGAATATCAGCACCAGGAACGTGTTCCACAATTACGGCAGGAAACACAGCTGGGTCACCAAGCTGGAAGGTGGGAAGAGGGGAAAGATTAACAACGTTTTGCTTTTGTGAAATACAACCCAAATTATTTTATACTGGGCATCAATTCAGTTTTCACATCATCAGCTACTTGCACCTTGACAATCCTTCTAGGCTACAGAGAATATAAACCTACTAAAACCAAATAAACTCTCATTATCAACTTGGGTCTCAACAACTAAGTTTTTACTGGGAAGTTCTACAAAAGTAGATTTTTAAAGCACATTAAGCTTAAAAAAACTAATATAATCAATGCATAAGAAGCGGCATACAAGTGAAACACACAATTAAATAAAACTTCAACAAAAGTTTCTTTGACAGAAAAAAAATCTGTGAGCTTTATAAATACTTCTGTCACTTGGCACACAGGCCGTGTGAAAATCAACTTTCATTTTCTATCTAGTTATAAGATCATGGACCTTTACTACTAGAAAGACCCTTAAAACTTAATCTAGTCCAGCCATCTCATTTTACACATGAGGAAACTGACCCAGAAAGGGTTTTTAACAGCCTATTCAAAAATCAGCTGATTAGTCATGAAAAAATTCAATGTTAAAAGTGAAAAACAAAAAGTTCTTTGAATGTGTCTGATATAAGAATACATGAATTGTAATACTATGTAATAATAAGGGCTATCTATAAAATACTTTTCAAATATAGTAAAAATGCTATTACTTACCAACTTGGTTTATATTGCTTTACTTGTATTATAAAGGTATTATTCATTTGCTACACTTTCTTATTAACATTTCTCTGCAAATCATCCCCTAAACCACTGATATGCACTAAACAGTCCATTGATGCAAAAAAAAAAAATCCACTAGTGACAGATGTCATTAAGTTACTATCGCTTTTACTTTAAAATTTTAAAAAGT